TTCGGCGCGACGATTTTTATATAGGGGGGAGGGGGGGGGGAGGGGCCCATCCAAACGTATCGTAAATCCATTGCCGGTATGTTGGCCTATCATGAATTGTGCCCTCGGAGAAAGTGAGAACGAAAGACAAAGTACGCCCCGGCGAATCCATTTCGCGTGATCTGATCCAACCCGGAGAGAGAGAGCCCCTATATTGCATCGTAAATCTTCGAGGCTGGGAGAACGATGAACTGCAAATTGCAAATTCGCTCTCGTGTAACTCTTTATTTTGATATCTCCTAGTTTTCGAACGAGCTTTAAAATATCGATCTTTGGACATTGAATGTTTTTTTTTTTTCTTTTCTCTAATTCAATTTCTCTTTTGTATTCCTCTTTCTCTCTCTCTCTCTCTCGCAAATTTATCATCTATAAATCGTGCAAACGTTCGAATTGTTATCTTTATAAAATTCTGTTTATTGACGAAACGAGCCGATAAAGATGATCTTGACGAAGATATGTATTTCATTCGCAATGATAAATGAACGAGGTCTTACGTCTTCTTAAATGATCTTATATAATCTCTGTATTCAATTTTTATTGTATAATATTACGTCGATAAATATTTCAGCCATTTTATATCGGTTACTAAGCGTCGAATGTGCAATCGAATATTCGAAATCGCAAAGAAAGATATCAATTGATAAAATTGTCAAAAGAGTTTCTCCTCGACACCTTCGAATAAAAACGGCGAGAAATTCAAATCAGAGATCCGGTTATAACTTTGCCAATTAACCATCGGTTGATGACGCCGCCAAGTGACAAAAAATCCCCAGAAAATGGACGAGTCGTTTCAAAAAATACAATTCGAATTACCGACCGAGGCTTATCGCGGGAAAAATTCCCTAGCAACCGGGTCCGTAGAAAGTTGGCAACTTGTAAAAATCTCGCTGCAAGGTCCGAAAGTATCCCTTCTCGCGATCGTAAGGGTAGGGGGTAGGTTGCGCGCTATTCACTGAATTCAGAATGCGTTTGGAGAGTCTCCGGTCTCCTCTTTACCTTTTCCATTCTCGGGAAAGACGTATGAATCGTCGTCGGATGGTTGCGGTTCCCCGAGCGTGGGACACTTTAGAGGCTATGTCCCCGGAATACGTAAATCGGGATTTTGAACGTGCATTCTTTCTCATCCCTCTTCCCTCCGCACTCTATTCCTCTATCTTTATGCTTTTTTTCCCCCCTTCCGGTGCTTACGTTAAAATCGAATTATCCTGTTATGCAAACGTTGAATTTATCTTATGGATTTCTCCCCGTCCGAGCAACGCGTGGACGGGGGAGGAGAGGGGGTATCTTCGAAACGATTCGTTTCTTTCTGTTCCTCTTTCTCCCCGATTCATCGAGAGAATTATGGAACGATCGAGATTTTTTTGGAAACGTTTGAAGAAACATTTTAACAGCATCCTGCTTTTGTTTATAAATTTGTATATTACAAATTTTAAGAATATATTTGCACATGTATTTGTTCGGTTTCAACGAAATTAATACGGAAATGTATCGCGGGAGATATAATACGATAATAATTTAATTATCATTTCTTGTAATAAATATAAAACAAAGCGGTCAAGCAGAGCGTGTATTGTTTTTCACGGAAATAACAAAAAATTTTAATTTCTCTTCGAATCTAAATTGAAAAAAATCCAGATTATCAAAATTAGATTGCAAATAGCAATTGTGTAAAAAAGGAAAAAGTATTCCATCTGGATGTAGAAATATTTTGAAGATATTCGAAGATGAAATGCACTCGAATAGGATATTTATAATTAAGTAGCGTATAGCATGAACGTTATTTGAACTATCTTCGGTCTGATCAAACTCGGTCTCGATCTACTAGACGCTCGTGTAACTCGTGTACTAAACCGAAAACGGAATAGATCGGACGCCTAAACTGCATTTTACGACTGACAGGATCGTAAAACGTAATGCAGAACGGTTTTGGACCGTGCTTGACGTACATAAATTCGCACTGTGCAAGATTTTGGGGGCGTGTTCCACGTTCAGACGGAATCGTTTATGGAGAAGTAGCGTCGTCGGTGTTTAAGTAACGACTATCGACACGTATCTCGAACACGGTACCGTAGTTTAATTCGTCCATTAGCTATGACAGAATTACATACATTCCAATGTATATTATTATATACAATTTTTTTTTAAACGAAACAATTTATTCTTACATTTAATTCTAAATTTTTTTTCGATTAAAATTTTTTATTTTGTGTTCTGTATATATATATATGTTTTAAAATGCAAATATATAAAATTATTTAATTTCGTTCGATTTTATATTATGTAATTTTGTTTAATTATATTTTTTAATATTCTTATGTGAAAATAAATTAGATACTATTGAAAATCAACGCGTAACATTTAAAATAAATTTATCGAAGCTTTGTAATATCGTGTGTGATCGTACGACAAATAATAATTCATAACGTGTTATGTAATAACAGAAATTTTGGAGGGAACGTTTTAAGGATCTGCCAGCTCCCAGCATTTTCGCGTTACAGTTTATTTTCCTAACGGTACGTTGCATATGATTAATTATAACTATTTAAACTGAATACATTTAATATTCATACAGAACGTCAAATATAATTATGCAACAGCTTCGCCATAACGCGGTTATCATTAATATGTAAAATTAGTTACTTCAGGATTAAATTCATCATAAAGTTTTCATTATTACGCTCCGGGCATAACGATAATCGGTTTGATATAATAAACATTACTATCTATTACTTGTCGACAATTATCGATATTGCATCGATCATTTTTTTTTCTTTTCTTTTTTTAAACACAGAAAAACTTTCGTTCGATATTTATTGCGAATTTAATCTTTATTAGATTAGATTATGTATGGAAGACATTTTTATTTTTATTAAATCGACGAGAATTCTTTTTTTTTTTTTTTCTTTTTTCCAAAAGGAAAAAGATATCGAGACGTTCGATGAATTTAATTTTTTCACTTTAAATATAATCAAAATTTCAATTTATTGCTTACTCGAATTATTCAATCACGATTGAACGAGGTTGAACAATTTTTTTTTAAAAACGCAAAAATCGTCGAGAAATATCGGGTGCAAGGATACTTTTAATGGAAAATAACGGTTGGATCGAGGAAATTTAGAAAAGTTTAAGCGTACGATTCATGAAATTAGTCACCTTATTTATCGAAGGGATACGCAATAGCCATTTTTTCCGTCACCGATGATGCAGTCCCACCCTGAACCGCAAATATCGCCGAGGCTGTGTAACAGCTACTCGTAAAAATCACTTGATTACAACCCCTCCCTTACCTCATCTCGAGGGCTACTATAAGATGAGGCGGAAAGTAAAAAAAGTCATCCCACCATCTTTTTATGTTCATTGGGCAAAACGTGAAAAAAAGTTTCCGTACTCGTCTCATTTTTTCCTTCTATATCTCTCAGTTCTTTTTTTTTTTTTTTTTTTAACCAGTCTGTATAATACCACAGGTCGTAATTTTATCAATTTTATAACGGCGTCGGTGCAACAGCGATTCGAGGAGGAGAATTATTTCGCGAGAAATTTACAAAAATTTCGGGTTAAAAGAATTGGAAGACGTCAGGATTCTCAATTTTGGAACTTTTGAACGAGGATAATTTAGGGATGTTGCGGAATTTGGATTTTTGGATTTCAAGAAAATTGCGCGATTCTTCTAAAAAATTTTTTTTCGAAGAATTTTGGAAGAACGTTACGATCCTTGGGAAAGTAGAAGAAAAATGTAGAATAATTTCGTTTTAAACGAGATTCGATTAACAAATTGAATATTTTCAGTTGGGAAAGAAGCTAATCGCATTAAGAATGGATTTATATAAGTTACGAGTTACTCTCTGTAAATTGTTCAATAAACAATTAAAATCTTGTTTCGTACAGTTCGAAAGCGGCCATTATGAATCTTCGCGACTTTGTTCATCGAACGAGGCGAGGCACGAAATACCGTAACAAGTAATTAAGTTAGAAGAAGATTAAGAGATAAAATGTTTCCATGTTTTATTTACCATAAAGCAGAGGTGGATTAATCCTTGACGCGATGAGAGAAAAGAGCTTTATGATATTTCGAGACGCGAAATCGGAAAGTTTCCGTTTCGGATTTAAACATTTTATTTTATTACACGTCCCGTGTAATAAAAACTTGGAGTACTTGGATCCTTGGCAAAAATTTCGACGAATTGTATCTATTCTAATATTGGAAAAAACGATTATCCTCCAATTTCATTAAAAAAATTACAACGAATCGAATATTTTCTTTTTTTTCTTCTTTCTAACAACGAACCAAACTATCCAAAAATAAATCGTAATAATTCATCGAAAAAGTTTCGTGTCAAATATTATTACTTCCTGTTAACAATCGAGTCGAAGACAACGAAACGAAACGAAACTTCCGTTCCGATTAAATTGTTGCTCTGAATATATTTACATTCGGTTTGAACGACGATACTGCAAATTTGTGTTATTAATTCTCTTCATTATTATTATTATTATTATTATTATTGTTATTATTATTATTATTATTATTATTACAAATTATCTCTCCCCCTTCTTTTATTTAAATATTAGCGCGTGAAATTCATCAACGTTCGTTGCTTGGTTAAATTACGAGAAAAATCGTGAACGATTTATTACTTATAATTTTCCAGTCATACTAATGACGTACCAGGTAAACGCGACAGCCTTGATATTTCAATAGGCGGGAACCTGATATGATCTGATCGATAAAGCGTCCATGTTGTTGCACGGGTGCCAATATACCGTAAATATCGGGGAGTTATGTAATCTGTTAAGCGTAATATCGATGCCCGGCACAGATACGTAATAGTCGTGTATAATTTATATTTAATTCCGAAGGAAAAACTGATTCTTTCTTTTTTTTTTTTTCTTCTCTCTCTCTCCTCCCCCTTATTTCTTCTTTCATCTCTCTAATCGAGAATATAATATAATTGATTTTTCAGATTCTTCTACCTCTATCACTTCTCCTTCTATGCCTACCATTATCGATTCAACGGGCAGTACAGCAGTTTGGCGCTCGTCACGTCTTGGCTGTTTATACAGGTAAGTAGTAATAATTTTCTTATTTAATTAAGCGGAAGAAATGAAAGGAGAAGAATCGAACTTTCCCATTGAATCGTAAGCGCTTTGATCGCAATATCGTTCGTCGTATCTTATCGTTTGCAACAAATAAATTTTTAACTCTTTTCACAATTCGTTAGATAGAGAATCTATCTTCTTATCGATCGAATAACAATTTCAAAAAAGAAGAAAGAAAAATTCATATCAAGTATCGATCCAGTCGTATTTTTATTCGTTCGATTTTAAAAATTCTCAATCAATCAACCCTTTCGCAAAATCCCCAAAGTATCGTTCGCGTCATAATTTTTCCACATTCACGATCTCCATTAAACGAATCCACCCTCGAATCGATCCTCGTCATTACGATCCTCGTCATCGATTTAATCGAAGCCGAATCGAACCGACTTTCAGAGAGAGAGAGAGGAGGGAGGGAGGAGGAAGGGAGGAGGGAGAGAACATATTTTCACGCACGGCGAACATCCGGGTCTAAGCAATTTGAAAGGCAAACACATTTGCAGCCCTCTTGAGAAATTCCTCGCGATCGATGTCAGAAAGGAATGATCGATCGGGGTTGGTAGAGGGTGGAAGGAGGGGGAAAGTACTTCGTGACATAATTTCTAAACGCGCCGTTGTTTGAGACCCATTCCTTGATAAAAAGGTGGTCACCGAGATATTCTTGAAAAAGTTTAATCTCCAATTTCAATTCGATGTGAATGAATTCGATCGAGAATGATAACGGGATATAAGTAAGAATGATTATATTAAGAGTAAAATTCTCAAAGAGAAGGATGATGTTTCTCGTAAAAAAAAAAAAGAAAGAAAGAAAGAAAGACCCGCTTCATTACTTTTTAGACACACATTTATTCGGTCGGGCGTTTTCTCTCAAGTAGGTCGGTTTAAAGTATTTCTGATTAATGGCCGCTTTTTCGTTGCACGAATAACCACAATTGTTGTTCCCCGCGAAAACTTTTCTATTCGCGCTCCTGTCTTAATCCTGAAATGTTTTACAAGCTAAAGTACAATACAGGAAGGACACATTCCTTGTATTTTTCATCCGATAAATACCCGGGTCTATTTGTAGATACAGAGAAGGTTGTAGTTAACGATCGCCCGCTCTATTAAGCGGATACTTTGACAAAGTTTCACAGGTTTCATTCTTTAATTTCGTTTTCGAGCGATCTTCGAAAACTTGGTATCGAACTTCTCTTAGATTTTTGTCGTAAAAATTTCACATCGTTATGATATACTACAAAATTTGGAATTATACTTCTCTGCTGGTATTTTCGATATTTTTGAAAGATTATATAGGTCGAGGTATATGTAAAGTTGATTAAATTAGTTATTCGAAAAGAGAGAGAGAGAGAGAGAGAGAGAGAGATTTCAAGTCGAAGGATACAAAAAGAAAAGGGAGAATATTTTACGAGGAATTGGTGTAAGTGGCTTCTGGTGAAAGTTCTGCTATTGACAGTAACGATAGCGAATGAAGAGGCTGGTTTGCAGTCTAGACCCGGCCATCGCTCAAACTTAAGTTACGTAAACGCGACCAGGACAATGCACTTGACAGTTCAATCGATCAGAATAATTTAATGCCAACTTAGGATTTCAATGAGCGGGCATAAATACCATTCACTTTCCTCGTGTAACGTCCTTTTCCCTCGAATTATTGCCTCGATCTAAAACGTATCTAGACATCTTTCTTTCCTTTCTAATTATACGATACTTCTTGCTCTTTGTCCCCTCGTCGAATGTTTTATTTTCACGTTATCTTTCTTACCACACGGATTTAAAAAATTATAGAAATTATAGAAAAGAATTTACAAACGTTCTTATCTTATCGCGATATCGAATTTTATCGGCGTTGATGATACGAAATTAATTTATTAAAATATATATTTAATTCTCTTTATATTCGAGCCAATTGTTATTGTCACCCAAGACTTTGATATATCGTTCTTATAAATATCAAAGGATGTATAATTTTATATATATATATCTTGGAACGTATACATCGAAATGCTCGTTCCTCCTTGAAATCGATACGCATATTTTATAATACCGTTCCTGTTAAAAGAATAGACGTATGCGCGAATCTCATTGTTCGATTTTTACCCTCGACACAATTATATATTCCGGATAATCCGATTCGATAGCGTACTTTGATAATGAATCGTAATTAGATGATCGGGACGGGTATTAACAGTTATTATTATAATGGCGTTACGATAGCTAGGTGTTGCGTTAATAACCGAGTTCGGTATGCGCTGTATATATATTTTGCGTGGAAAAATTAAATACCATTAAAGTGTAATGGGCCGGCTAATTAGCCGATAAAAGATACCGAATGAATAACAGATTCGGCTTGTTGTATTCCCCTCGCAAAAGGAATATACGTATTCGTTTTATCGCACGTATCGTCGCGTATTAAAAGTAGAATGGAATTTGCAATTTGCCCACGGTAAATGGAAATAATCGAAGGAGATAATAATGGGCGAGATACGTGCGCCGTCGTGAATCGATCCTGTGTGTGTGTGTTTTAATTCGACTGTGTGATTAAAAATTGTTTAAAATCACCGAGTCGAGAAAAAGAAATACGTGGAATGGAAATATTGTGTTCTTATACGTTTCTTGCTTATTATCAAGCAGCTGAAGGATGGTCGAAGATTGGTGGATGCGTTCGGAGAAATTTATTATCTTAACTTGAGAAATTATTGAGAAATCGTCGATAGAATCGTCGATCGAGTATATTCGTTTCTTTTTCGAAAATAATAGTCGTCGGATTTCGATTTGATCCGATATCTGAGTTTGTTCGAGTGTATTCATATCTGTTTCTTTTTTATTATTGAAAATATCTCTGTTTGCTGGATTATTATTCGTTTCAGTAATAATTCATCGAATATCTGTACGAATATTGGCACGTCGCGATCTCGATCCACTCCTACATTTCATTATCGTATGAAAGTAATACTGAATTTCACGAAACTTAATACCTACGCACGTAATTAATTACTATCTAAATGCTAATAACACAAATAATAATTATAATAATAATATTCACGTTTCCATCAAACGAATCAAATTTAAATCGTCCAAAAAGAAATCCAAGTAGAAGAAAAATCACAAATTCCAAAAACCATATACTTTCTTTTCCAGACATACATTTTTTATACATTTAATATTATCATATAAACGTATTAAATTATATAGAAAATTTAATACTTCAATTTAATTAATTTCTACACAAAGTATTAAATAACATGCACACGTAATACCGCAATACAATTACTTCTCGTCTCTAAAACGCATCTCCAAGGAAAAACGAATCCAAGAATTAAAAAAAAGGAAAAACATACTTTTCC